CAATATCGTTATTATTTACTTTGGAAAGAAATAGTCTAATCTGGTAGTCGATGATATTGTTAGCAAAACCAGTGTTAACTAGTGTCTGTTTTGCATTATTGAGTTCTTATATATATATATATATATATATATATATATATATATATATATATATATACAGAGAGAGAGAGAGAGAAAGAGAGAGAGAGTGAGCAAAGGCCTCTAGACATTAATATTACCTCCTTGTATGCAATATATACATTACTTTTTAAGAGAAATATATATATATATATATATATATATGTGTGTGTGTGTGTGTGTGTGTGTGTGTGTGTGTGTGTGTGTGTGTGTGTGTGTGAATATAGAAAAATAGGAAGGAACTGGTTAGGTAAATAATCCAAAATCCCTTAGTATTTTTAGTTATTATTTTTAAAAAATAGTGCTCGATACAAAAGTAGAGCATAAATATAATTATTTATTTAAAAATATGATTCCAAATCGCTACATAAGAGGTCTCATGTTTCAAAAACTAGAGCCGAAAACTTCAATATAATCCTTTAAATTAAATTGAGTTGAAAGTAAAATGGGCTCCGTTCCATCCTCAAGCGAAATTTTTGTTGGAATAACGTATATCTGAAATTTACTTGTCTTAAAATTGAAATCAAAATCCCCATGGTAACAGCTATGGTGAATTGTCTAAATTGGGTAGGCGAGTGTAGGGTGTTTATAATAAGTAGCGGTATAGAGATACTTTCAAGGTGTCAAGTCGGGGAAAGGTGGGGGTGTCAAAAATGAAACGGAAGATGTAACTAGACGATGGCCAATACATCTTCCGTTGAAACATGAGACCTCTTATGTAGCGATTTGGAATCATATTTTAAATAAATAATTATATATATATATATATATATATATATATATATATATATATATATATATATATATATATATATATATATATATATATATATATATATATATATAAAGAGAGAGATGTGAAAAATGTGAGAGAGTGAGCAAAGGTTGCTAGCCATTGAAATTACCTCCTGTTTACAATCTATACATTGAGCACTCATGGAGTAATGGATAGCGGCTTGGATTGAGGAATCGGAGAGGCGAGTTCGAATTCCAGTCGAATCCACTACATTCACTTACTTATGGGAAAGGTGTGAATCCTCTTCTTCTCCCTCCAGCTTTGGGTAAATAGCAGGACTGTGTTCTGTAGCCTTGGATGGCAACTGGTCTAGAAGAAGGACAACTCTGAATTCGTTTGGGAGTAGTGCACCAGGTCTCTGTATTCGTCCCTTCAAAAAGTGTGGATGGTCCTGCACGAAACCTTCACCACTATAATCAAATCTCATGTGCTGTTGTCGGTTTCCTAGGAACTGGTCTGCTTGACCCTCATACGTCGAATTCGATATATATATATATATATATATATATATATATATATATATATATATATATATATATATATATATATATATATATATATATATATATATATATATATAAACAATCGATAAATGCTAAAAGTTTCTTTTCGCGTAGAACTTCGTGACGACTTTTCAGCCAACTTTTACTCTTCCCGCTCATTTAATAATGTTTCTGTTTCTAATTCTTCCACACCCGATAACCCCTTGAGTTGTAGTGGCTTTACTCCCTTACTTGTAGAACTCCTTTACGGCTCTATGCTTTCCAGCCATCTTTAATCTGAAACAATTTAAATACAATGTCAGTTGCTATCTACTGTACTCCTGATTACTTTTCTTGTTCCAGCCCATTATTAATGTTTCTCTTTCTAATTCTTGTACATCCAGTAACTCCTTGTCTCTTAGTGACTTTATTGCCATGCATGGGGTGAAATCGATTAATTTTTTTTTTTAAATAAATACTGGAAAGAGCAATAATATTTAATGTACTTGTGAAACCTATTTTCCTGAAAAAATTATTTTAATTGAAAGGTTTTAGAAATTAGAATTAACGTTGGCACTGGCTGCTCGGTCAATGAACACTGAATATTTCTTCGCAAGGAAACAGTTAAATTTACTATTATCATACTTTGTAGTTTGTTTTTGCCTGAACAAGCAATGGTCTACCTCATCTCGAACATAATTACTCATGATCCTTAAATTCTTTCATTTTCTTTTTAAATAAGAATAGCCCCCTCAAAAGAGGTGTTATAGAAACGCATTTGGAGAAGAGACGCGAAAATGGATTAGGACAGACAAGAAAGGAAACAAAGTGATGATAAGCGTACGAGACAAGCAAAAAGATGCATTAGCCGAACATTCTTGTTTCGTTTCTGATGTAACACAGAGATGGCAATAATATTAGCAGACTAGTGGATCGACCGGAAAAATGGATGGTTGGCTGCCAACACGGGAGCCAGACACTTCTTAATCATTAGGCAAGTATTTTGTAATTTTTACACACGTGAGTGGCGGGGATGAAGGAAATAAATGTTGGAAGAAAGATGCAGACGGTTGAAGCAGGGAGGTAGTCAAGTCGAAAATAAATAGTCGAATGGCCGTATGTCTACGAGAGAGATGGGGGGGCGGGGGAGAAAACAAGGTAAACAAAAAGAAAGTAAAAATGTCTGATAAAGTATTAACTAAAATATACAAAAAGGTAACAGGAAACTCAGAAAGGAAATACGAAAAGATGAATTGTTAGTACACTTCTTCTTCTTCTTCTCCCCCCTCCTCTCCTCCTCCTCGTCCTTCTTTTTCTTCTTCTTCTTCGTTTTTCTTCTTCTTCTTCTTCTTCTTCTTCTTCTTCTTCTTTTTTCTTCTACTCCTCCACTTCCTTCTTCTTCTTCTTCGTTTTTCTTCTTCTTCTTCTTCTTCTTCTTCTTCTTCTTCTTCTTCTTCTTCTCCTTTTTTCTTCTTCTTCCTCCACTTCCTTCTTCTTCTTCTTCTTCTTCTACTTCTTTTTTTCTTCTACTCCTCCACTTCCTTCTTCTTCTTCTCCTTCTTCTTCTTCTCATCCTGCTTCTTCTCCTCCTCCTATTTCTTCTTCTTCCCCTCCTCCTCCTCTTCATGCTTCTTCTTTTTCTGCTTCTTCTTCTCCGTTTCTTTTTTTCTTCTCCTCCTCCTCCTTTTTCTCCTCCTCCTCTTTCTTCTTCTTCTTCTTCTTTTTTCTTCTTCTCCTTCACCTCCTCTCCTCCTCCTTCTCATTCTTCTTCTTCTTCTTCTTCTTCTTCTTCTTCTTCTTCTTCTTCTTCTTCTTCTTCTCATCCTGCTTCTTCTCTTCTTCTTATTTCTTCTTCTACTTCTTCTTCCCATCCTCCTCCTCTTCTTCTTCTTCTTCTTCTCTTCCTCTTTCTTCTTCTTTTTCTTCTTCTTTACCGCGTCCCTTCCGGACGCTGATGATTCTCCTTCATCACATACTCCATTATGTCAAGCACTGAACTATACTTCCTTGTAATAACGTATTTTATTTCAAACACTTTGTGAACAAAATAAATGAAAAAGATTATTTGTTTTTATCTTAAATATCGGAGAAAAAATCCTGTTTGTTTGTATCCCAATTAAGTCAGTCAGTGAAGTGCCATATGTGGTACATGTTTGGGCAATCATGTCTCTTTCAATACATGACTGACTAGACAGAAGATTTTTCCCCTAGTAGGTTGCCTTTACTTTTTACAGTTGACTGGTTGCCACCCAAGGCTAAACCTGAAGGTCCTCCTGTTCACCCCCATAGCGTAGAGATTCATACCTTTTTCCAAGAGTATCCGTAAATGAGGAGTTACGGTGGAGTAATGGATTGCGGCTCACATTGAGGAAATGATTTCGAATTCCAGTCTAGTTCATTACATCCCCTTTCGTGACCATTGGGAAAGGTATAAATCCATTTATTCTCCCTCCCACCTGTGGGTAAATAGCAGGATAGACTTGGTTCTATAGCTTTGGTTGGCAACCAGTCTAGGAGAAGGAAAGCTGAAGGGAGCAGGCTTACGTCCGAACTTTCTTGCACTAATTCTACTGCGGTTGCAATACTAGTGGTACCCCTACGACTATAATGATTCATTGAACTCGTGATCGTGAATTTAACGAACCAGATTGAAATTCGAACTGAAATTCGAGCCGATATCCATTAAATCACAACGTACGTAATAGCCCTAAACCTAACTCGAACTCTTAATGCTAATCCGTGAACACAATTTTAACTCTAATCCTAAGTCCAGCTTTAATCCAGATCTTTAATTCTTAGCTTAAACCCAACTTTAACCTAACCAAAAACCCAACTTTAACCTAACCCAAAACCCAAATTTAACCTAACGCTGAACTCAACATTAACCTAACCCTAATCCCAAATTTAACCTAAACCTAATCCCAAATTTAACCTAACCCTAAACCCAACTTTAACCTAACCCTAAATCCAACTTTAACATAACGCTGAACTCAACATTAACCTAACACTAATCCCAAATTTAACCTAACCCTAATCCCAAATTTAACCTAAACCTAAAACCAAACTTAACCTAACCCTACTCCAAACTTTAACCTAAAATTAATCAGAATTTTAACCTAACCCTAAACCCATCTTTAACCTGGCGTTAATCCCAAATTTCACCTAACCCTAAACCCAAGTTTAACCTAACCCTAAACCCAAGTTTAACCTAACCATAGACTCAACTTTAACTCTAATCCTATCTCCACACTTTCCTGTTACTTGTGGCTCTTAACCCTGTGTTGGTCACTTCGGATTTACAAAAATGGATAGAACCCTAGCGTCTGCTTCCGATGATGAATGTGCTACAAGTGCGCCACTCTGCGTGCTGCACACTGAGTCGGGAGAATAGTAATAGAAAGCAAAAGAAACAAATGGCCAACTAGTCAATTATGATTATTTTAAAATTTAAAAATTTGGGGGTAAGAAAACACCCCATGTGTCTAACGCAGGCTTAATAAATTTCGCCTTTTTTAATCACCTAAAACTTGCTTCGCTATCCATTTACTGAAGCGCGCTAGGTAGGTTTTCCACCGCTAACGTACTTCCGAACTCTTTCTCTCATTTTAGAACGAGAGAAATACTGTATTACCAGTCATGTACGAGGTGCTATCAAAAAGGTTCCTAACTAGATCTGTAATACCAACCGATGGCAAGATACAGTTGCACGAGAAGAGAGAGAGAGCTAGCAGAGATATTCATGCGCCAGTGTGTCGAGTAACATTGCTGTGTTCACTCCGCAAGGTGTGAAATATGTGTTTCTGTAACCACGTGTATGCTGCAGCCTACGATATGTATTAAGTTACGGCAACCGCCGTCTGTCGAACTCCCTGCATTAGCAGAGAGGAACCCGGACGAAGCTTTGCCGAAGGGCAAGGTTTCGTTCGAGGAGGTTATGACAGCTCTCGAACTCGCCTAGTCGAGTCGAAAGCTATATATTTGGCCGGGCCTACGGGCTCGGGTGACCACGTAAAACTCGGCCTTGTGCCACATGCGACCCTACGTAGGGGGACAGCTAAATATTTGTAGCTTACGATTTTGTCATGCAATTGTTTTCGATTTTTTTTTTTTTTTTTTTTTTTTTCGTCCCGCAGGGCCAGACTATCGATCCAGAGTTCGACTGCAGCGTTTTGAGGCCTTTGAGATAGGAGGTTCGGCGAAAGCGACTGCATCTGTGGATCGCGTAGTATTGGATTAGTCATCAGGGCCAGACCATCAATCGAGAGTTCGACCGCAGCGTTTAGAGGCCTTTCATGGAGGACGTTCGGCGAAAGAGACTGGATTTGTGGCGTGCGAAGAATTGGACTCGTTTTCAGGACAAGGTCGTCAATCGAGATTTCGAGTGCAGCGTTTTGAGGCCTTTGATGAAGGACATTCTGCGAAAGCGACCGGATTTGTGGATCACGGAGTATTGGATTAGTCATCAATCCCAGACCATCAATCGAGTGTTCGACTGTAGCGTTTTGAGGCCTTCGATAGAGGACATTCAGCGAAAGCGACCGGATCTGTGGATCGCGGAGTATTGGATTAGTCATCAGGCCCAGACCGTCAATCGAGATTTCGACTGTAGCGTTTTTAACTCTTTGAGGATAACGTTCGGCGAAAGCGACTGGATCTGTGGCGTGCGAAGAATTGGACTCTTTTTCAATGCAAGCTAGTCAATCGAGTTTTCGACTGCTGCGTTTTGAGGCCTTCAATGGATTAGTCATCAGGCCAAGATCGTCAATCGAGAGTTCGACTGCAACGTTTTGAGGTCTTTCAACTGGATCTATGGGGCGCGGAGTATTGATTTAATCATCAGGGCAAGGTGGTCAATCGAGATTTTGACCGCTGTATTTTGAGGATTTTGATGGAGGACATTCGACGAAAGCGACCGGATCTGTGGATCGCGGAGTATTGGATTAGTCATCAGGTCCAGACCGTCAATGGAGATTTCGACTGCAGCGTTTTGAGTCCTTTGAGGTAGGACGTTCGGTGAAAGTGACCGGATCTGTGGATCGCAAAGAATTGGATTCTTCACGACGACAATGTACCCTGTTATCGAGCTTTCCTCAAACATACGTTTCTAGGCAAAAAACGGCATTGCATCGCCCTATTCGCCAGATTTAGCAACTGCGGACTTTTCTTTTTCTTTTTTAAGCTGAAAATGCAGCTTAAAGTTCACCGTTTTAACACTACTGCTGAGATCCAGAACGAATTGAAGAAGGTTCTCGACTCATTTCTGGAAAACGGCTTCCAAACCGGAATTAAAAAAATGACAGGAACGCTGAGGCCTGTGTATTGGTGACCAAGTTGACTATTTCGAAGGAGACGATGTTAAAGCTTTCGTAAATATATTAGTTTTTTTTTGTTGTTGTTTTTTTTTTTTAGCATAACTAGTCCGGGAACTTTTTGATACCACCTTGCATGTCAAATAAAATAGCCACACTCGAACACAGAATTTATTGTAACAAGTGCAGGAATTGACAGAATGAATACATTGAAGAAACCTCGAGACGTTTAAATAAAAGATTATATGAACACAAAAGGTACTTTTTAAAAAACAACACATAAAATGCATTGGTTGTTCATCGTAACGAAACTGACCACAATTTTGACATAGGGAATGATACTTTGATTAAAAGAGAAAATAGTGGGCTAAGACGAAAATGTCTGGAAAGTGTCTTGATCGCTAGTTCAGCCAGGGTTAATTTGCGAATATATTTTATATATATATATATATATATATATATATATATATATATATATATATATATATATATATAGTTGTAAAGGTTAAAGACAATAGGAAAACTGTATTATTAGCCAACGAGTTTCCTCTAATGTGGACCTTTTCAGGGAAAAAACGACATGAATTTATTAAAAACAAAGTAACTATTAATAACTATTAGCATATTATTAATATAACTATTAATAAATTAATTTCCTTCTTGCCTTGAAAATGTCCACATTGAACGAAACGCGTCGGCTAATAATACAACTTTATAAATCTTTTACCTTTATACATATTGTCTTTTATTACAGGTTAACTCTGAGAAATGCTCCATATATATATATATATATATATATATATATATATATATATATATATATATATATATATATACTATAACGCTGAAGAATTAATACTGACGGCATATTTCTAGAAAACTGGAAATCAAAATGGCTACAATTGAAAGAATCCATATACATGCCTGTTTCACTGTAATACACCTCATTATTGTGGCTTGACGTCCGATTGCTTTAAACAGGATCGAAACTCGACCGATTTGGCATCAGCCAGAGAAAGGGAAATTTTAACATACTATATATGAAATGTGAATAAACGCCAGTGACAAAAAAGGGCTCAATTCGTAATTGGACAGAGGTACGTTAATAGCAGAAGCAGCCACAGCAGCAGAATCTCCAGAGTGCTCGATCGGATAACGAGAGCATAAATAGTATCCCACATACAAATCTGTTTCGCTGTGTCACAGGTCTTCAGTGTGGCGAGATGTCCGAGTGCTTCGAGATGGGCTCGAGTCTAGGCCGACTTGGCATCAATCAGATATCTTACCACGAAGCTATCTAGCTATTTCTCTCTCCATATATATATATATATATATATATATATATATATATATATATATATATATCCTATTATTCATATCTATCTCAATGCATACTTTTCTATCTTTACATCAATGTTTGTATCTTTATCGGTACATCAATATCTGTCTATCTATCTAGCTATTTAGTTAGCCCAGTCTTTTCATATCTATCTGTCTCACTCTTTTTATATGTATCCATCCTTCGAAGAGACTCAAATATTGGCATGCAACCGAGAGATATGGAGGGGAGTGCTCGGGTGCGCAGTGAGCCTACGCCTCCCACCACCACCCCGTATTTGGACTGATGATGAGTATAATGATCATGATCATGATGATGTGTAGAAATCGATACATTTAAATCTCTAAGAGTTTGTGGCCGTCCTTTGGTATTCATATTTAATTGAGTAACAGGTTGTTATTATTAAATTCAAGTACCATAAACCTCCACCCCACCCCCTTGCAATGCTTCATCGTATCTGCCCATGAGCCTCATCGTCTCTACATTCCGATTACAGCCATCAATGATTCTCTGGCTTTCGGAAGAATGCTGACACTGACCCGTTGGAACAAAGGCAAAATATCAGCAATGAATTTCAGAATTTATTACCGCTTTTATCGATTTTCTATATTACGGTCGGACTTTAAGTGGCTTTTCATTCCGGATTTGAGTGTTGCATGTTGGAACGGGAGAGACACACATTCACCACGTGTTCCATTCGATTCAATAAATTAAACATATTCACCTCGACTATGACTTCGAACTTCTACACTATGATTTGACAAGAATGGATTTAACAGAATTTTAGTACGCAGGGATAGATAGATAGATAGATATGAAAAGACTGAAATAGATAGATAGATAGATAGATAGATAGATAGATAGATAGATAGATAGATAGATAGATAGATAGATAGATGAAGAGAGAGAGGGATATGAAAAGACTGAAATAGAGAAATATTTAGATAAGAAAAGATTGAACTAGATAGTTATGAAAAGACTGAATTAGATAGATAGATAGATAAATAGACAGATATGAACAAACAGAGAAGCAGAGATAGATAGATAGATAGATAGATAGATAGATAGATAGATAGATAGATAGATAGATAGATATGAAGAGAGAGAGAGATATGAAAAGACTGAAATAGAGAAATAGGTAGATAAGAAAAGACTGAATTAGATAGATAGATAGATAGATAGATAGATAGATAGACACATATGAACAGAGAAGCATATATATATAGATAGATAGATAGATAGATAGATATTGTTAGACTGAAAAGATACGAAAATTAATGCAAAAAATAAGTATACACTGAGACAGATATAAATAGTGGCATATATATATATATATAGAGAGAGAGATAAAGAGAGAGAGATAAAGAGAGAGAGATAAAGAGAGAGAGATAAAGAGAGAGAGAGAGACAGACAGACAGACAGATGGCGATAGATATTGATCAGACTTTAATTGGGTTATGGATAGATTACCTCACAAGCACACACACACACACACACACACACACACATATATATATATATATATATATATATATATATATATATATATATATATATATATATAATGATCTCTATCGTTGTCTTTGAATGCATTTTCACAATGATCCGCACATGAAATTGAACCTGCTCTGTTGATTTCTTGTTTCGTTTAGCTCACCATTACACCAGCTGCGCCTCTGCATATAATAGAATTCTAATTGTAAGGAATCTGGACGGAAATTTACTGTGGATTGCCTAGCAATTAAAGCCCGTTCTATACATTTTCATCTCAGTAAACTGCGTTCTCTTTTATTAGAATTTCTTGAAACTGGTGCTTTCCAATATATTTTCCCTAATCCGGTCATGGACAAGTTGCGGCCCGATTGGCATTCTGAATGGAACGCTTAATTTCACGAGGAAAATTACGTTTATTAAAATGTTGTTTCATGCCTTACGTTTTCACTTGTTCACTCAGATACTCTCATGTGTAGACATTTACATAAACAATTATTAAGTACAAAGTTTCTTGAATGTTTCAGTATTTCGTTGAAGGTTACGTTGGCAGCATTTTAAGACATTGGCGTTTTTCTCTAAGGAAGACCATAAGTGTAAAAAAAACTTCAGAGACATGAAACGTTAAGAATAATTATTTTTTTCACTGGAGAATAAATGTGCTTCTTTTAAACACGAATTGTTTTTGCATCGTCAAATGAATACTTTAGAAACGAATCATACACAGAAACGCGTGTTAATCCCTCTGTCATCCGTAATCCTATTATACGAAGACATCAGTTTTGTCTTAAAATTATACCAGTAATCTTTTTCCCAATTCCAAGGCAGATGCTTATGCGCATGCTCTACTGTTGGGAAAATGGCGGCGGTATCTTTAATGAAAATTTACCTTGATTTTTTTAACAGAGCAACCCGCCTTATGATGAACTGTGCCTAACTCGGCCCACTGTTCGAAAATGTTTGTCCATACCTGACCTAAACAGTTCGATATATTCATGACACTCTAAATATATCCCCGTAAAACTGCTTTAACTCACACAGTAGAGAAACTAATGTCGACCAGACAAAAGAACTCACTCATGAAACAGAAATAAACAAGACTATCTTTTCTACATGCCATGTTAACCGTTCTGTTCACTCTGTAACAACAAAATACAATCCGGAAAAATCATCATTCTGTTTAAGAGCACTCAGAATATGCAGCCCTTAATGTTTACATGAAGAAGAAAAATACATTGAGAATACTTTTAAGCACTTCTAAAATCCTAATTATTTCATATATAACTACAATTGAAAAGGATTTATCTAAAATCAACATAGTATTTGTTAGAACTACTTCTGAAACAATAAAAGACTTAATTAATACAAAACAAAATACACCACAACTCTAAATCGAACATCTGAGATGTCCGGTATTGAGGCTACTGTTCGGATTCGAGGAAGAAAAGGCTGCTGTGGCAGCTTTAAAAATGTTATTAAGTTTTAGAGTTTAGTATACAAAAGGTAAGGTCGATTCATTTTTATTTAAAGTGTAGACTGAATACAGAAATTTACCAAAAATAACTGACAATCAACAGTAATGAAAAGAGATGTGCTGAAAATAATGTAATTTGTGAAAAACTAAGACACTTTATGAAATGGTTAAAAAAAATTTTAAGTATCTTATTCCAAAACAAGTACAAGCTATAAAGGAAGTTAAAAATAAGGATATACAGTACAACTCCTCTAAACCGAACATCTGAGATGTTTGGTATTAAGGGAACTGTTTAATTCGAGAAAGATATGACTTCATATTTATGTCAATACAAAAGTTCGGTAAATTAGAGTAAATCTAATTCGAGGAGTTTTAGATTATACTGTGTCCGGATTTGGGGAGTTCTACTGTAATAAGCTATAATTTGAAAGAAGAATTTACTCTATCACATATAATAATTGTCACAAGAATTATAAAGGAGAAACCTCAAGAAATTTACATATAATATTATGCATAAATAAAATAATATTATTAAATAACATAAACTACTATACAAACATAAAAGAGGTATTTAAAAAAACAACATACTCAATACATAATGAGTCGGACCATAATTTTGATTTAAATTATACTACATTAATAAAAAGAGAAAATGTATAGAAAGTGCTTTAATCGATAGATCATCTATAGATATCAATCTCTAGATAGATAAGAATAGACCGAGATAGGAAGAGAAATTAATAGAATTTAATTTCAGTCGAGCACTCTTGAAGGAAAGCGCGAATTTGTAAACAATAACGACTACTGCTAATACTGCAAAGCTCTTCTATGAATTGAGCTCTCTTGGTTATTGGCGTGTTTATTCGAAAAACAAGTACGTAAAAATCCTCTTTTCTTTCTACCTGACGCTGATAGCTCAGGAGTAAAATCTCCCATTGATGCCAATTCAGTCGGGTTTCGATCCCGACTTGAGGCAATCGGATGTCTAGCCACACTGATGAGCTGTGATACAGCAAAACAGTCTGTCTGTGCATGATGAATTATGTATAATATATATTGCACACTTACACACATCATACTCACTCACTCCCTAATGAGCCAACTGATAACACACACACACACAGTAATATACACACATCATACTCACTCACTCCCTAAGAAGCAAATAACACAAACAGACACACACACACTGAACAGAGACACATCCCCTTTCCAGTAACCAATTAAACTGTCAAACAGACCAGGGGAATTCAGAGAAGCATAGATCCATCAAGCTCTTATCTCAAATAACTTAAAAGAGACTGTTTGACCAACACAAAGACTGACCAAAATTCATGTTAAAAAAATTAAGAAAAAAAACAAAACAAATGAAAACTACAGACAAAAGTTCATTTTCTCCATCAAGATATTCATTTCTGTAGTTCACTGCTACCAGCAAGCAGAAAATTATTTTTCTCCTGATGATGACCATGTTGGCCGAAACTAGTCGAGGAATCTAAATGAAATAATGATAAAAACGAAGGAATATTAATATACAACCCAGTGTGTCTGAAGATTTTAAATTTTTAATATTTTTTATTGTTCAATATATATATATATATATATATATATATATATATAGAGAGAGAGAGAGAGAGAGAGAGAGAGAGGAGATAGATAGATAGATAGATAGATAGATAGATAGATAGATATGAACAGACTGTGATAGATAGATAGATAGATAGATAGATAGATAGATAGATAGATAGATAGATAGATATGAACAGACTGTGATAGATAGATAGATATAAACAGATTGACACAGATAGATAGATCGATAGATAGATAGATAACGAACAGACATAGATAGATAGATAGATAGATATGAACAGACTGTGATAGATAGATAGATAGATAGATAGATAGATAGATAGATAGATAGATAGATATAAACAGATTGACACCGATAGATAGATAGATAATGAAAGAAAACTAACGCAAACAGAAAGTCATAACATCTGTCTGCATATCTTTACTCAACCATGGATTATCCTCACTTTTTTTTATTATTCTGACTAATCTCCTTGTTGATCAATTGCATTCGTTGCCACAAGCCCTATAAGTGAGCTCCACGAAGCGATCCTTAATATTGTTTAAACTAAATATGATTTACAATCTCTCGTGAGACTTAGTCGCGAATGTTTCCCAGTTTGTGGTGAAAAGGTGACCCTTCTTGTCTGTTTTCCTCTAGAAATTCGCTTAGTGCACAAAGAACACAATGGAATCCCACTGCTCGTCTCGAGGCGACAAAAGGTCGAGTTTACATTCTCCTTGACACGGGTCATCAACTGTGATCATTAACAACGCTAGATTCTAATAGGGTCACTACTTACTTCAAGCAAAAATTCTCCACATTCCTTTCACGTCAGACACCTCTTCCTTTGAATGGAAAGAATTTAGCCATAAAATGTCAGAGAGGAAGCAAGACGTTGTAAAAAGCTCTTTACGGCTAACATCTGAAATACTTTCAATTAAATATTTCCACAATTAATATATTATTGTTAGTTTTCAGTCAGTTATGTGCCATGAGTGATACACGCTTAGGCGATCATGTATCTTTCGTTACATGACTGACAAGACAGATTTCTTCCCGCAGTAGGTTGCTATTTCTTTCTGCGGTAGACCAGTTGCCATCCAAGTCTTTAGAACCCGCTCTGTTCTGCTATTTACACATAACCGGGGGAAGAAGGGTTCATACCTTTCCTAAGGGTATTCGCACGTAAATGAATGTAATGGATTCGACTGGAGTTCGAACTCGGCTCTCCGATTCCTCAATCCGAGCCGCTATCTATTTTTAATCCATCTTGCTTTTTATCAGAATAACCTGGACAAATACACTCTTCATTATTACTATTATTTTATTACGACTTTTATTTTTTTTATATTTTTAACCATTTCACCCCAAGCAAGGCAGGAGTGCCACTGGCACTCAAGGGGTTTACAGAGAGTGAGTGTAAGAGTAAAGAGGGGTGTTTGTGGAAAGGATAAAGAGAAGGACGGCGATCAGGATCAAGGTATCAGAAGATGTCTATTGACATTACATTTAGATTTTTGAAGATTATAGTTATCAAGGAAGCAAGTAAGAGGAAGGGAGTTTCACTGTCTGGAAGTGCGAGAGAAGAAGCTGTTGGAGTAGAAGAGGTTACATTTAACTGTTTCGACAGCGAAAGGGTGGGACCAAGATGCCAACCTAGTAGCACGCTTAAATTCATGCAGCTGGGGTACCAATGAAAATAGCTTGTCAGAGCAGTTGCCATGAAAATATTTGTAGAAATGACAGCGGAAAGCGACAGCACGTCCGTGAGAAAGTGACTGGAGTCGAGATGCCAGGTCAGGACCTATCATATTGCATATCCGTCTTTGGATTTTGTCGAAGACCTCGAGATGAAGAGTGGAATCACCAGACCCTATATGGCAACAGTATTCAATGCAAGGACGAAGGGTAGATTTGTAGATATGAAGGATGGATTCAGGCGAGAAAAACCTTCTGGCGCGACACAGGGAACCAACCTATTCAATCATTCATATTACTGTTACTTTTTATCCAAAGAATCTGGCTCTATACACTCTTCACTGGCTTCAAACGAATGAAGCCTGTATGTCTTATTGTGCATTGTCTTTCTTCGAACATTTTGGACTGGCGCTACACAATCACAAGCAAAGAACTGTACCAAATAATAGAAACCACATGACTTGAGGACTTTCAACAGCAGCAACAACTAAAATGGATAGAACATGAAACTCAAAGAGAATATGATGACATAATTAAGATATTGACTTTCGACTTCAATGAAAAGATTAGGAAGGAATCTACACCCACCCACCTTATGAATTCCGGAAAGAAACTATTTTTCAGAAATTTTGTTTAACGAGAAAGATTTTATAAATTTCAATCAAAAGTAATTTTACCATTGCCATGAGAGATGAGGGGAACAGATACTACACTTTTACCCCAGCTCGATGTGCAAGGAGTTAAGAAAAACGTAACATGGTTTTTACTGTCTGCTTGGCCAATGAATGCCGAATGTTTCCATATAAAGAAACATCAAATATTAGAAATGAGAAGAACAGATACTACACTTTGATCCTTGCCCTATGGTGTGTGAGTGAAGAAAAGCGTAGATAGATATGAGTAGACTGAGATAGATAGATAGATAGATAGATAGATAGATAGATAGATATAAGCAGATTGAGATAGATATATTGGTATGAATAAACTTAGATAGATAGATAGATAGATAGATAGATAGATAGATAGATAGATAGATAGATATCAAAAGATC